AAAACAGAAATGAACATTTGAGAGAACACACTGCACTGCCCAGTGCTGCAGGACTAGGCACAGTTTTCAGAAGATAGCTGTATAATCAATGAATATAAAGATGTTATAATTATAAAAAAAAAGAAAGAAACCAAGAGAGTTTGGCAAAGCAGATTATAATAACAAAAAAAGAATAGATAAGAGTGCTTACCCTTGTCCTGGGCTCATTGCAAAACTCCAAGGACAGATCTAGAGAAGAGATCCTTCCCCACTGGCAGTCAGCTCTCAAATGGGTCTAGGAGAGGTGCAGCCAGGCTCCACTCCTTCCATCACACAGCTGAATTGCTTTCACCTGTGCTCCATGGCTGACTCAGTGCTCGCCTCAGGTGGTCAATCAGAGGCTCAGGCCGTGATTCGCCAGCTCCCATACAATAGCAGTAAAAGCTTTTCAAAGAACTCTACAACCTTTTTTTGTTGTTGTTTATATTCTGGTTTTACTGACTCACTCGTCTGACATGCAAATAAGTCATAAGAGTGTCATTTTAATATTAATAGCCATTAGGGCTCATTCTAATCTGACAAATGAAACCTGCCTAAACAGCATTTCGTTTCCTGCACTCTAACAATGTGTAATACTTCACAAGTTACACATTTCAAGGCTGACTTCTAAATGACTTACTTCTGGGCTGCTGGAAGAACGTACCACTTGTCCTCTGGACCGTACCTATTCATCAGTGGATCTTATCTAAAAGTTTTCATGTCCCTGAACCTGCCAGCAACTTGCCTGTGTGAACAGCCCCAAGCTCTGAATTGGGTTGTTCTGAACAATTGAAAGTGGAATACAAAAACATAACCTTATGCCTGTGGAAGACGTTCTGTCCCAGGCTGCTCAAACCACAATGCCAATGAGCTTATTGTGTCATTGGATTTACTGGCAGAGAACAGTTTGTTTAAGCCATTTCCATCACAAGTCAGTTAAGGCAATTTGTATTTGTCAAAACCTGCTGCTTAGGCTAACTCAGACTACAGAGCAGAAAATGGGTTAGAGAACTCCAATGAGCAGCTCCATTAGCAGAATGATATCTATTTCCCCTGGCATCACTCTTTACAAAATGATGCCTTTTAACACCTAACACCCTGAGAGCAAGTAGTATAAACACACTGACTGATTCAGAAACGCACCTCAGACATTAAAGGAGGAACTTCCACAGGCTTACAGGCCCTCATTTGGATGTAAAAATGATAATAAGGGCACAACAGCAAAGAGCGATGAGTATAATTCAAAAAGATCAAAGAACAGCCACCAGGTATGAACTGGCTGTCACCAGCTTATGTAAGACCCAGAAAACTCACCAAGAGGTGAAAATGTCCTTACATGCTTATATGCAGTTTTAAGTCTATGTTGTGGAAGGAGGACTGAAGCACATCATAAAATCTGCAGCTCCACCAATGCCTTCACTCCTATTACTTGTCTGTGCTTGCTTCTGTTGCCAGCATTTAATCCATTTTTCCTCAGAGGAAGGATTAAGATATTTTTCAGGCATAAAAAAAACCAAAACATAATAATAATAATAAAATTCTTCCTGAAATTAGGAACTACTTTTATCATGTTCCCATGTTCCCCCTTATTCATCTCCTTTCTGATGCACACGATCCAAGAGGATATGGGAGAATACAGGACTAAAGCTCTGGGATCTTCCACGGATTCCAACCAGTTTCTGGGTGGGATCCAAGGTATTAGTTCTAATTTCTAAAGACCTAAATAGTTTTGGACTAGTAAACGTGGGTGGCGACTTCCTCCTCCGGGCCATGCCATCACATTTGAAGATGTGAAGCTCCATCAAGATAAATAACACAAGAAGTACCCAGTGAGGAATCCTATGTTTTGGAAATAATTTTGTCTACTTCTGTGATCATCTGGATCTGCAGGGAAGCCCGTTTTGCCCCCTCCTCGTTAAATCATTTGAGGAGAGCGTGGACTGAAGTGTTCATATTCACAGTTTATCCTTGATCCTTGCTGGTACTTTTCATTTATTAAAGAAATGCCCAAAATACTGAATAGGTTCCTCTAGAAATATTTTTTAAAGCAAATAACTGACAAGTACACGTGTTGAGCCCTCCCTCAATAGCTTTTCCACACCTTTAATCATTCTTAAGCTTTTTTTTTTAGCCTGTCTTAGGCTTTTTTTTTTTTTTTTTTTTTAAGATGGAGTAACAGGAACTCTAAAGGAGTTACTCCAAAGCCTCCTGTTACACAGACCTATATATGAGTGTATAAATATATACACATGTATGAATTTTTCATTACATCCAGCCCATCCCATAAACACTCTAAAAACTTAGTTCTGTCTTTTTCGACAGTGGTTTTCTTTGTTCCCTCCACAGTGATTTCCTCATATCTTTCCTGGACTGATAGACCACACACTATTGGTGTGTGAAATATTTTCAAGCAGACTGCATACTCATTCCCAAGTATATTGTTATTGAACTTCATTTGTCATCATTTTATTCATTAATCCAAATCCCTCTGAAAAAAAATCTTCATATTATGCACAGGCTTCTTCAACTTCAATAGCTTTGTCCCATTTACATACTTTGCACTTGGCTGCCCATTTCTTCTGCCAGAGCTGCCTTAACTAACAGTGAAACCAGTATAGTCTTCTCAGACACTGCACTTTCCCTGAGTGTATTAAGAACTCACTTCAATGAAGCAAGCAATGCAGGTTCTGGAGCTTGCCCAGCCATAAGTAAGAGTCCCAGAAAAGAAAAAGAAGTTCATCTTACAGGAGCTCCAAAGAACTACTCTCTGGTGAGTACCTACAGAAATCTCCATACATGGCGTGTGCACAGCAACAGTTTGTGCATGTGCCCCTGTTAATGTCCTTTCTGATGAATAGTTTACAGAATTTACCAGATGAATGGAGTACGGGAAGATGGAAGAGATAAAAAGCCTCCTTCCTCTCCATTAGTATGATACCTAAGTAACCACTCACCATCAGAACATAGCTAGTGTAATCCTTGAACGTGACTTTCCATCTTTTCCAAAGAAAAGAAAGAAACAAGAAGATGGACTGAAATATAGGAAGAAAATATCAAGGATTTATTAAGTACACTAGGTAGTACAAACCCATTAGTACTGCCAAGTTCTTTTGTAAGCATGACTTTGAAGGATTTGGAAGAGGACAAAGAAGTAGGGAGATGTAGAGCAAGCTCATTCTAACAAGAAAGGCACAGCAGAAAACAGCCCAGCTGATGCTTGATGAATTAACAGGCTGCTCAGGGAGGTGATGGAGTCACCATTTCAAGAACTGTGTGGATGCGGCATTGAGAGACATGGTTAGCGACCACTGTGATGAGGGGCTGATGGTTGGACAAGATGATCTTCACGGTCTTTTCCAACCTTAATGATTCTATGAGTCTATGTTGTGTGCATTCCCACATCACCATAATGTGACTCATACAACAATACCATCACTGTATCCAATGCCATCACTGTATCCAATTTTCATTTTGAAGATATTGAGGGATAGATCCACAACTGGTCTACTCATAGTCATAGCTCCAGAGCTTATATTAAAGAACTGAGGAACTCTCAGACAAATCAGTGGTACTACCCAGATAAAAAAGGTGTGCTTCCTTCTCCCACCCTTCAGCACTCTTTGCTTCCATAATAGAGAGGTGATATGAAAGGACTTGTACAACAACTTTTCCTTGCATTTCTTAGACACAGTTTTTCTGGCTCTTCAGCCTACATGACATATCAGCAACTGGGGCAGGAAGAAAAATTTTTAGTGTTTAGATCACTATCTTTTATATTGAGATATTTCTTGATCTTTTTAAATGTCTAAAGGTACATAAAAATAAATCTTCCAGAAAAAAAATCTTTTCCACCTGGAAAATAAAGGATCACCTGAACAAGTTGCTTTTGCTCGAAGTTGTTTAAATATCATTTTCAATTGTTGCTATTTCTGTCCTTTGGAAGTTCCGTTCTACTACTGAAAATACATGAACACCAATGTGTGCTTATAGGGTAACTGGTAACTCTCACAAAATCCAATAGTATGCTAAAGTTTGGGAAACTGGAAATAATGTCTTGATATATATATATATGTTATACTGAATTCTCTGTGATTTGGTCTCTTTATCTATCAAATATAAAGTCTCTTCACCTGTGGCATGCTGTAAAGGCTTTCATTTTGGAAGAGATGGGGAAGTTGAGTTGTATGTTCTTGACACAGCTCAGCACTGTAGGGTAACAGGAATGAGTCAGCTTGGGTTCTGGAAGCCCTTAACACCATGCGGAAGGAGCATGCATCAGCCAGGATGGAGCACCATGGTGGTACAGCTGTGCTGCTGCTGGTACACAGCTAGCACAACTGACGACACATCCTCAAAATCGTAACTTCACTGAAAGTCATTTAGAATTCTTCAGTATTCATAGCAGAAGAGAAACATCACTGTGCTGAATTCACCCTGCTTCTTTTCCTCCTTACTTCTTGTAGTGCCGTTTATTTGAGAGACAAATCTCAGCCCACTGCCATTTGGAGTCACCTGTGTTACCTCCATTAATATAGTTCAGTATGTCCAGTAACAACATCAGCCCTCTGGTGAGCTTTCTCACCCAACTCCCTAGCAGGTTTTCCTTACCATATCTAGGTACACCTGCTTGAATATGCCTATCATATTCTTAGACAGCAATAAATAACTGAGACAGAGACCCAATTTCTATGAGAATCTCAGCAAACTGAGCACGTACCTACAGTCAGTGGGAGCACTGATGTTGATAACTCAGTATTATGTCCATAGGCTGCAAGCTCCTTCAGGGCTCATTGCCCCACTGTGGGGCAGAACTGTGACAACTCAGTAAGAAAAAGGAAGAGGAAACTCTGGACAGGATGACATGTATACCACAGTGCTTGAACTGCGGCCAGTGTTTTTCAGTAGTAAACTTAATCTAAGAGGAAAAATGTCTTTACAGCAGTCATTTATATGTCTCAGGAAGGTTACACTGTTGTTCTTACCCAGCTGTGCCATCAGCCAGCCATCCCGTGGTGCAGCCAATGAAGGAACAGTCCAGGACAGCCCTTTTCAGCTCTTCTGCGGTTGCTAAGCGAGCACTCAGGTCAACACAAGCTTTCTCAGCTTCAGCTAGATCCAGACCCTGAGAGTTGTTCTTGGACTCAAGTGCAAACACTTTCCCTGCAGCACCAAGAAAGATCAGGTCACTCATCGTGGCATGGTACTCAATATATGTTCCATAAAAATATTGCAGATTATCACCAAATAAAGTCTTGTTCTTACTAAGTTCAAACCAGTGAGCAACCTGTTTCTTAGAATTAATTAGCTAGCAACACCGTAAAGACTTTCACTGCAGTTTTTCTTTTACTTACATTAATCAAGACAAATACAAACACAGCTGAGTACCTGTTCATTCCTAGTCTACACAAAAGCTTACCATCCTTCTACAGGTCTCTGCTTAGGATGTGGAAAGAGAAAGCACTGACACTCTCTTACATGCACTTAAGTAGTCAAAGTCAGAACGCCTGCTGTTGGATATAACATTGGAATTCATTACCAAGCATATTGTAACTAGAGTTATAAAACTACCTGTATACAGCAAGAACAGATCTACATCCCAGTATTGTAAATCACTCTTCCACATCAGAGATTTATACTCAGTCTCTAGAATAAAAATTCTGTGGAAATGTGCGCCTAAATGCTGCTGCAAAGCCACTTTGTTTTCATATCTTTCTGGAAAGACAGAGGGGATTTCTTCCTTAATAGAAGACTTCTTGAATGAGCACGAGGACAAATTCAGCACAACAATTGCTGGAGTTATTTTTATTTTCAGTTCAGTTTATTTTAATTTATTTAACATTGTGAAAGATGTTAAGGGTGAACATTAGAGATTCCTGCAACTGGGAAAAGGGCAATTGGGGTTTTGGCAATAAAGCTTGAGAAGTTATTGGGTTGTGGAATAAACACATTTGCCAGATGTCACCAGAAAAAGAAACACAGGAGACCATTCACAATGCTGGCATTTGAATTGCCATAAGTGTCTTCTTTCTGAAGGTAAAATCCCTCAGAATATCTTCTAAATTTTCAAGTATAAATTTAGATTGCTTGCAGGCACAGGAAGACATCTTTTGAATGTCTGTAAACATTTATGGCTTATTTAAAAATCAGATTAGTGGCAGTGGTTACAAGAAAGCGTAACTTCCAGCACATACTGACAGCTCATTAGGTAGCTAGCTTCACACTCACACCATATACTGACCAGTATCTGTAATCCTTCAGATTGCTCTAAGCTGATTGTATACAAAGAGACACCTCCACCCACATATCACTTTAACGAATTAATAAATCTGAATCTAATCCTACATACAGCCACTGATACAGGATAAGTCTGCGCCTAACAGCTCTCTGTTCTCTCTAGTGCAGAATTTAAACTAATGAAGGAACAATCATTACATTAAAATATACAAAATTTCTATCATGTAAATATGTAATTTGTGTTTACACTAACAAGCATAGATGGGTCCTGATAAAGAGCTGTTTTGGTGGTCATTCTAGATATGCACAGCAAGGAGTTCACGCGATAGACAGAAAGCAACTAAATAAACAGGACAAGCAATAACGATAAGGAAAGGGAATCCACAGTAACCAGAGTGATTTTCTCAGGCAGCAAGTTGACCTAGGAGTGTGTATAATTAATGAATATAATGACGTTAGAATTACAAAATAAACAAGAGAGTTTGACAAAGCAGATTATAGTAACAAAAAGAAAATAGACAGAAAGCTTACCTGTATCCTAGGCTCACTGCAAAACTCCAGAGTAGGGATCTCTAGAAAAGACCCATTCCTAGTGGCAGTCAGCTCTTAAATGGGTCTAGGAGAGGTGCAGCCAGGCTCCACCCCTTCCAATTTTTTCCCAATTGCCTTTACCTGTGCTCCCAAGGCTAACTCATTGCTCGCTTCAATCAGAGGTTCAGGCTATGATTCAGCAGTTCCCATATAGAGTGCAACCCAGAAGCACTGATCAGTGTCCTAACCACTAGACTAAACAATATAATGAATTATGACTAGAATTAGGGAGTACACACAGACCGGTGAAAAAAGCAAGCCTCTTCACTCCTGAGAACAAAAACCTCAGGATTCTTTGCCAATGCCCCAAATTTTGTTGTTTCCAAAGCCATGAACAGCCACAGTGAAGAATGCATGGAGTTGGGAGAAGCAATATAAGCAGAATGACTTTAAATTGCCATTCCTTAGTTGTGGAACATCTTACTTTTATAAAGATTTTAAAGCATTTTATTTAGGAGGCTAAACTTGAAAGAAAAATCTTTAAGGACTGAGTTCTGTGAAAAAATAATTAGAAGAAATAAAGTTCATCATTTCGCCTATGTACCAGTAGATGCCCATTATGTTTTTCCAGGTGTTTTACAGTTGTTAATGTAAATTAACTTCTTGCTAGAAAGTATGAAAGTGCTGGACTTCTGGGATATCCAAAATATGTAGGCAAATAGATTTTAGGGTAAGCTAGGAAAGTCTTACTGGTCAGGAAAATTATAGTGAACTGCTTCATAGGAAATTCTGGTCAGCCAGAAGGGGGTGAAAATGGCTGTCCATCTTACCAGAATGACCTGTGAATCTTCTCCAGAACTCCAGAAGTTCTATGGCTATCTGCCCAGATTTTAACATGTGCTTTATGTCTTGCTTTGTTGTTGTCTTTTTTTTAATTTATAAGTAGTAGCAAGCTGCACCTGGTACCTTACCAATGAAACATTTGGATCCCCAGTATTCTGCCAAGTGTCACTTTACAAAGGGGCATTTAGAAGGAAAAAAATAAGTAGGAGACATATTAGAACAGCAACAGGGAAAAGCCCTTAAATAAATAAGACTGCAGCAGTGCACCTTACAGTGCTGTGACTGACTGGCTTGAAACATTCTTGTACTGATTATTTTCACTTTCAGTCACACAAGTGGTCTGATTTTGAAGCTGTGCACCTAAGGGCAAGATATTTGTAAACCTTTTGTTGTTGCTTTTTACAGTGAAAAATGAAGAAAAAAATCCCTGCCTCACATACTTGGTGATACACAGTCAGTTTTACTATATGGGTTGTGAAATATTGAAATGGTATCACCCCTCTGTTCAACACACTATGACAGCGTAGAGTAGTTGAAACCAGTTTTCTCTCTGAGATAATCTCAAGAGATGCATTATCACCCTGTTTTAAATACAAGGCTGCTGTATTTCCATAATGAACAGCATGCAAGGATCATGTCTTTTTGTATATTTGCACGAATACCTTTGGTTGTGCAACAGCCAGCACGTCTGAGCTCCCTCCCTATGCTCTTCCTTCATTTCTGTAGCCTGTAGCATTTCTGCTTCCCATAGTGGAATGATGAGACAGGTGGTCTGGAAATCTGTTACCAAAACTCTACATACTTTTCTGAAGATTTCAGACAAAGCCAGTCTCTATTTCAAGTTCAAGCTAGGAATCCATGGGAAGTAGCCTTTCTCAGAATACTTAATACATAATTTGAGTTTTACAGTTTCAGATTGAAAAATGTCTTCATCGTAGAGATTTTTCAGGTTTCCCTTTGAAACTAGTGAAAAAGTTCTAACTTCACTGCTAAGACATAAATGATAAGACATAATTCTTCCTGTAGTTAATTAACAGCTAAACTTGCAGTTCTCGATAAAAATTCACGCTTGAAATTTCTTTAATAACTGCAGTATATTATATGTATAGCCTCTGCTATCATCATTACAGAACTGTAATTCTATTTTGATAAATAGATAATTTTTTTTTTATTACTTATTGTTTGGCTCTAAAATTTTGTCAACAAGCAATAGCTGAGGACAGTTTTTATTAAAGAGTACTCCAGTACAGTATGATTGAGAACATAACCATAGATCTCAAGCCCTCTAGGATTCATTTTTATCACCTTGTTTGAATTTCTACATAACTAGACTGTAGATTTCCCCCTGCAGTTCCAACACTGACTCCAAAAATTCATGGTTGAACTGGAGCATGTCTTTTCAAAAGGCATCCAGTCATGATTCAGTGACTCCAAGTAATGGAGAATTTACAGCACGCTTTATAGTAAACTGTTCCAATGGTTCATTACTCTCACTCCGCCTTATTTCCAGTTTCAAATTTTGCTAAACTCAGCTTCTAACAACTGAACCTTATTATGCTTTAGAGACTGAAGAGCTGTCTATAATCAGATACAGAAAAGCACAGAAAGGGACACTTCAGAAGACTTCCAGCTCCATTCCTTCTTATTTGTAGGAATCCCAGTGGAATTAACAGAAGACAGAGTTAGATAATTTATTCTAATACATTAACAAACAGAAGTTCTTTTGAGGTATACAGGCACTGTTCAAAGCCTACTGAAGTTCAAATTCTTCCATGTCCTCCGGAGGACTTGCACCATGCTTGAAGGAACCAAATAGACTTTAAAACAGAAGGGTCTCTCACAAATAATATAAAATGAAGTACTTAAAAAGGCATGTCTATTGTGCTGATAGGATGATGTTTTACTAGCTCAAATGGTAGAATCTCATCACTTTTAACGAAATAAATGTGGTAAAAGATGTATATATTTCACCGCTGATTTATTTTTACTTAAATGCTGAAGTCTTCAAATCGAGGTAAAGGAGAGTGGAGGAAGAGAAGTTCAACTCTGTACTTCAAAAGCAATTTCATTTCCATTTCTATGGCTATGTGTAACAATGGCCTTGATTGTAATAGCAAGGGTGGGAGATTCAGTAAAACTGTACAATTACAGAGAGAGATCTGGGTAATTACCAGAATGTTCATGAATGTAGAGTTTATTTCTATGAGAAAATAAAATGAATGATGTCTTATTTAGTTCAAACTGCTTAAAATATTGCATCATCAGAAAAGTAGAAAAATTTGGAGGTCACTTCAGAGTTCCTCCTCAGCTAAGCTCACGTTGAACTTAAATTTTAATGTTAGTAAAGGCTTTAGGGTCAAATATTTGCAATTGTTTATGGATTTGCTTTTGCAACATACAAACATATTAGCTGGTTTGCAAGTAGGACCGGAATTGCTTACACACCTGCTACTCAAACACAGCTGTATAGATTCAGCAGAAGAGAAGAAGCATAATTTCTTTTCTTTTCCTTTGGCTTTCTTTAGAGCCTTTTCATCAAGAAAGACCATAGTAGGATTTTTCCCTCTTAAAATTTTTCAGGAGTTTTACTGCAGATCTAAAACTGCTCCTTATCTCTGCTATCCACGTAATTCTTTTTTGTTTGGGTTTTTTTTTTCTTTTTTCTTTTTTCAGGATAGGTACTTAATTTGATTCATTTTTTCTTATTTACTGAAACATACTTGATAGCTAGTTCTGCCCACTGACTTCTGCTTAACAGCAATCCTATAGGGAAGAAAATCTTAATTATTACCAGCGTAAGACTTCTTTCCCTATAGGACTGGAGTACTGTATCTAGCCTGCATATGTAGCAAAAGGGCAGCTGTGTGAGCACCAAAGTGGTATCAGTCTGCTCCAATACACCAAGAAATATTAGCATATCAGTAAAATTCTACTTTCAGATTTGTCTGCTTCTAGGGCAGCAGTACGGTCAGATCCTCACTTAATTGTCCCTAGCCTTCTGGATTCATAATCTTTCACCTGCAACCTCTGCAGTCACGGTGTGTGCTCACTACCAAATGACTCGCTGATCTCTGGAGCTTCCTTCCAACCCCTGTGATACTGTGATTGCCTTGGCCAATTGGTTTTGTACGTACCCCAAAACTGAGCCAACAGAACACCACTGCTTTGAAATAATTTCTCAAGTGTTACAAATAGAGCGTTTCTCAAATCAGGTTTGTATTGGTAAGGTAGATTAACTGCCATAATTCTCTGCCACACACTTTTTCTCAGGGCAAGTTATCTGCAGAAAATTATGGCTCATATCTATTTACATTTTAATAGTAGTGACAAAAGGAGGAGTCAAGAAAAGCAAAGGTGACTCCTGTACACCACACATGAAGCCAGATTCTTTTCTCCTATCCCAGAACAAAGATATTCCAAAAAGTTTCCATTTGCAGTGGGTTATTTAAGAACTGCTACAATCACAAGAACATAATTAAAACCTTTATCTTCGTAAAGGTGAAGTTTAAAGTTGGTTCCAGCTGAGAAAAAGTTACACCGCAGTGCTGTTTGACTGTGTGGTTCCCATTCACAAACCTGGAACCTACCAGTGCTAGCTGTGGCTGAGCAACTCCTGAAGGCTGAGCTGTGTTTATTGACTCCTTTCCATAACCTATCTCACTCAGCAGTAACTGTGCTGGCAGTAGTAGCGCTACCCTGCTGCACACTTACACCAGAGTAAGTCTGAGCAGAAATAGGCCCTGAGGAGACCCTTATCTGCCCGACCCTGATCTCCACAGCTATGAACAAGCATATTTCCACTGTAGAAAAAGCAAATTGCAAAGCGAAACAAAGCTATCTTTTGTTTAGGTGTTTATCTTTGTCTTTCTGGAGTCTATCCGCTCTACAGCAATACATGTTGCAGTAAATATTAGTCAAAAGAGATCAATTAAGCTTCAAGGCTTTACACTTTCACCAGACCCCAAGGGTCTCCACTTTTACTGCCTGCTCTTTGTCATTATTTGTGTGTGAGATAATAAAGTGAAAGTCTTCCTTTGGGAAATATATTCCAAGCAGTTTTGGGGAGTTGCCTGTAACAGGGGCCAGTCTGGATTTCATTGGGTTTTTACAAGGTGGAGTCAAAATCCCTTCAGCACTCTGCAAAACGTTTAGTTCCTTTAGTACCCAATACATACACACGTCACCCAGAACCATCCTTCGTCACTAAATGACATTTGCATATAACAGAGAATGGCACAGTGGTATTTTTACCTAAAATTTCCACAACTGAGAAACTGGTTTCCTGTTGGATCGGGCTCAAATGCGCTATGTAAGGGAGCATTACTGCTGTTCGTTACTCTCAGATCTTCTTAAATACGAAAACTTGTGTGTAGCCGTAAATTTTTAAGTTCAAATCAAATGTTTTCTTCTGCATATTTAGCCAGATGGTTTGCAGGACAGTGTTACAATTGTTTGCTGTAGTACTAATAGCAGGAGAACACGCTGAGGAGCACGTTGGTAGAGGACTTACTCGTTTTCAGCAACGACTTTTAGAAGTTAAATAAAAATCAGAACAGCGGTGTTATAATAACGGTTGGCAATTATAAAGTACTTCACATATCCCGCCCTTTAATTCTTAAAGTGCTTTACCACATGTAAAGTAGATTTGACAGACTGTTGAAAGTCAATTAAAATCTGTCATGAACTTTGCCTCGAAATGGTCTCCAGCATTTTCCCCTTTCTCTTTGAGAGGATATCTATGTCTTCAATCCTACAGAAACAAAACAAACTGGGAGGTGTTCCTGAAAAGGGAATTTTTCAGACAAAGCACTCTTAGCAAAGGCAAATTAATTATTCCCGTCCTGATGCCTTTTGCAAGTCATGTGGAGAGCCTTCATCCGTAGTGATGCTTTTTTTCCTCATTTGAGAGGGATTTTGCTGTGGAAGGAGGACTTCCTAAAATCAGAACTGCAGTTTTCCTTCTGCAATACAGTGGGGTCATCTTATACATTTCTTTCACTTTACTCTTACTCCGCTTTTCTTTGAATTTACAAGACAAGGTTCTGGTGTATAAATGCATACCAAGTGGTAGCAGTGAGCAGAAGGATTGTCCCCTTTCCTTTGCCATATTTCGTGGCCAAATGACAGAAATTTCAGCCGAGGTGGAAAAATGCTCCGAGAACAAGCAGAGGTTTTTATTGCCCTATAATGTTAAGGAACTGTTCTCCAGCACAATACAGCAAACAACAGTGGTAAAGGATTACTGTACTGACAAAATATATATATCCTGAGATCAGGCATAAATCTATTGCAGCTGCAAAATGAAAAAACAAAACAAAACAAAACCATGGCCATTCAGCACTGCTCTCCCAGGAAAAGAAACACTTGCTTTAAAAATTAATGATGTTATCACCAAGGCAAGTTGGCCATCATCGGGGGGCTTAATTATTCAAATGGGAACGGGCTACTTGCAAAGGATGCTGCCATTCGGGATTACCGTCAGCGAGTGTCTTGCAGAGTAAGCAGCCGGTGGTGATTCAGCCCAGTTTGTGCTCCGATCGAATCCCTCAGTGGTGCAGAGCAGGTGAAGCCCTCGCAGGAGGGTCAGCTGCTGTCCTGAGCGTGCTGTACCGGATCAAAAATGCTGTGAGCAGAAGCCTTCAGCTTCTCGACTCCCCTTCCTCAGTACCTGCCCGTGTAAGCTGATGTTCGGTGACATCTGAGCTGGGCAGATGTGGAAGTCGTTCAGAGAAATGGTATTTTTAATTATACATAAAATAATTAAAAAAATAATAATAATGGAGAGAGAGCTGCTGCTTCTTATTTGTGTTCTGGCTTTGTTCTGTTATCCTTACTTCCCCTGGAAAAGGTCACTATCCTGTTGTTCTGTTGTAATAAAACAATCTGAGCCTTCTGGGATCTTATTTCCGTTCCTTGCTTCACCCCAGGATATTTGCAAAGTCTCAGAAAGCTCTGAATCACACGTTTCCTAACCCATACTGGGGCATGTATTTAAGTTTCTTATTAAAAAAGAAAGGTTGGTTGTTGTTTTTCTTTTTTTTTTTCTTGTTGTATTTTTCAATAACCCATTTCAACACAGAGCTCTTCTTCTAGCCCCAGCAACCCAGCCCGAACAGAGTGGAGACTCACCATCAGCCCGAACCGAGATGATCTGGAGGATGAAGAAGACGGGTCCCACACCCCGGGCAAAGGTGAGAGATGATCTCCGGGAGCTCAAAGCCATCGCCCTGCCGCGAAGCCCCCCGATGCAGGAGGTGGTGCGGAGGTTTTCCTCTCCCTCCTTCGCAGCACGGGCTGCGGTGATGGTTTCAAGGAGCCGCTTTCTCTCGGCGGGATCCTGAGTGTTGGGTCTGTGCTGAAGGCGGGAGGGGTGGAAAAAGAAAGGGAGAGGGAGGGAGAGTGGAATCTGTCGCTTGGCGGGTGTGAAGGGGAGGGGAGGTGGGGGGAGATGTCCGGCCAGCTGGGGCTGGAGAGAGGCTTTGCCCAGCCCAATCGGCAGGGCAGCGAGCAGCGAGAGCCGGTGCGAAAAGTCACATTGCCCTGTCAGTAAATAGCGAGCGGTGCGAGAAATGCAGACACCGGGAGGGAGGGAAGGGGGGATGAGGCAAGAAACGAACAGGAGAAATCACTGGCTGAGGGGAGAAGGGCAGCTGCATAGCTGGCGCTGGGAAGGGATGAGTTTGTGGAAGGAGCTATGCATCCCACGGGGATGGGATGGTGAGTGGGGAGTGCTTTCCCTCTGTGGGGTGAAAGCAGCCAGTGTTGCATAGGGTCGCAGGTCAGCATCTGCCACAGCAAGAGTGACAGTCTGCAGGTGAGAGCAGAGGAAAGGTGGCAGATGGCACTATACCATGACAGTGGAATTTCGTTGAGGATGGGGACTGCTAGTCCTGCTGCTCCAGATCCCAGCTTCTGGAGGGGCAGAAGGAAGTACAGGTCAAAGTTGGACTCTGCTTCAAAACACTGTCCTTCATCCCTTTATCAGTGCCCCTGACACAGAGGAACGGGTTGGTGCTCCTCGGGGCTGGAGGCAGTTGGTGAGGGGAATTTCCAGCTCCCGTCAACACTTGCAGCAGTGACATCTGTCCCTTATTCCTACTCGTCCTAAATTTGTCCAAACAAAACTAAAAAAAATATAACCCACAATAAGAGGAAATATATGAGTGGTGATGCCAGGATTTATTTCACTAAATATATAAACGGAATAGTTTCGTGTTGCTGTTGGAACTCAGCAGAACTGAGAAATGTTGTTTTCATATTCCCATCCTATTTTGCTTTGATTTCAGCTTCTTAAAATTTTTTCCCTTAGAAATTCAAAGCTGGGCAAAAATGTTCAGTTAGCTGGAAACTCCAAGCCACCGACAGCTGGAGCAGGAACCCGACCTCCCTACCACCACGGCCCTGGTGGCAGAAAGGGCAAGGTGCCGGTAGACATCTTCTGATCATGATGAGCCTGCCAAATGCTATTTTCAGTCAGATTGGAATGACTCAAGCTTAGGAACCTCCCTGTATGATACTCAAGCAAGCAATAACACCATGGTACTGGAAGCTTTAAAAATGCCTATGTTTGATGAATCTGGGTTGATAAAGTTCTGATTCAGGTGATTTTTAAGAGATCTTAGCCTCTTTCCATAGGAAAATGAACAAATATGCTGATCTTCTTTACTGTGAGAGTGACAGCACTGGAACAGGCTGCTCAGAGGCTGTGGAGTCTCCTCAGGAGATATTCAGAACCCTTGTGGATGCCTACATGTGTGACCTCCTGTGGGGAACCTGCTTCAGCGGGAAGTTGGGACTCTATGATCTCTTCAGGTCCCTTTCTTCCCCTACGATTCTGCGATTCTTTGGTTCTGTGACTATACATACACACGATGCAAATATACACTGAAAGGTTTTGGACAGGTAGCTTTGAATTTTCTGTTTATCCAAAGAACACAGATGGCAGCAGGTTTCTTTACCTTGTCTTGTCAACCAAGGACTTGTAAGGAACGCCACCAGAATTAGAAGGGCAGCTTCATGCTCACTAAATCTTTAACAATCAGTGCACTGTAACTACATAACTACATTTTGTGCCAATGGAAATTGTATGCTATGTACTGCAGAAATTAACATGACAGAAAAGGAAATAGAAAATTGTAGCATTCTTCGAACTTTTCTGTTTCTTTTACTGGTGACTTTGCAATGGCATAAGATGCGTTTTTTACTCTGATATTCCAATAGTTTGACATCCATTTTAAAAATCAGTGGGCACAAAAAGAAAGAGGATGTTGGATCTATATACTTTCAGTGAGATAGCAAAGACATTTCATGAAACTGAGCAACCAGTTACATCACGACACACAGACATGAACCGAGACTTGACATGACCACAGCAGTAACTCCACGTTTCCTTGACATTTGTCATAAGGCTGACAACTTTATTTGCCCTTTGCTGTCCCCAAGGGATTGGCCAAAGCATTTGTGGGAAAGGGCAGCATCTTCTAGATTTCCATGTAAAATTCCAAAGGTCTGCTTGATTTATTTTGCTGTAATTGGATCATTTTCTCCTGTTGATATATGTAAGGGCATGTTGCCACTCTGGCTCCTGTCTTGGAAAATCTCAGCTTGTATTCTTGAGCAGAACATGTCACTGATTTCAAAGAATTACAACAGACCACAGGATGTGTTCCTTACTGAAGGCATGAACAGCTGGTAGAGTGAACCGGCTTCTTCCTCGCATCCCATCTCAGCTGTAAATTAAGAATGTAAGCTTGAAAGGGTAGGGATGCTTGCCAGCTATTGACTCCTGGAAGTAATTAAGTGCATCACTGCAAACCAGTTGTCCTTCAAATCTAATATTTCAATAGGAAAAAAACTCTTGTTTCTAGTGTATTTTGGAAGATTTATATAAAACTGAAGAGTTCAGGTTTGGTACTGAAATGATGTGCACATTGTTTTGCATTGAAATCAACATTAATTGGGTTAAATTTCTGCATTTATACACTGGGCTTCTTTGCACCAAATACTCAAAATGAGGTCTGGATCTTATGATGGATAGATACAGATATAAATATTTGCTCAGAAACTCTAGCATTCACAGTACTACAGTAACACATTGGTCGAACAACTCAGTGTGTAATGCACAATGTTTTGTGTTACATTACAAAAGATTAATTGTATGTGTAACTTTACACAGGTCATAGATCATGCCTGCCTTGGGAGTAGTGAATGTGCCAACAGTGATATTTTATAAAACACTGTTTCACTGTGTACAAGCTTTTACATAGAGAGTAAGACACGTGAAGGCACAGTGCCATGAAGTATTTATATGTACACATATGAATGCAGTGCACACAAAGCACTCGTGTACTGTAAAGCACACAATAATGCTTTGGGCATCGTGTAACTGGAAAGCATCTACATACATTTCCATGTGGAATATGTCATTCAAGTTAAGAGTGAATTCTTTGCACCAAAAAACACCTAAAAGAAATTTAGGTGATCAAAGACATATTTGAAAGCATTTGAAAATATGTATCTACAATAGAGCCCATATTATTATTGTATTTGACCTTTTCATATCTACTCCTAGGAATATCTATTTTCTACCATGAAAGACTTACATAATACAGAGATTATAGGTGTGAAAGTCACAATTCTGCAAATTCTTACACGTGATCTTAAGTCTTTGCAGGATAAAGGTGCAAGACCCTAAGGCCTTGAGCGAATAGACACCCTTTAGAAAAATCTGCTGTTTCCAGCCAAGCTGGGTAGATGTTGGCAGAATTGTTCAAGAATTGCAGCTGGCAGTGAATCTGGCCTTTGAAGAATGCTGGAAAGTCAAAGGAAAGGTCGCTTTTCATATCACAAGAAAGCACAACAGAAAAAAAGTTTCTGTACTGAAAAAGATATCTCTCATCTCTGTTGAAGCAGGAGATTCAGGTTAGCTTGTTTCCTTGATTAACCAGTAAATTTCAGATGTTGACAGTCTGCATAATTTAGTCTGAAGAGCTACATTTAAACGGATTATAGATTTAAGCTTTACTTATCATCCTATTTTTTTTAAAAAAAGAGAACTAATTAATACAAAAGTGAGTGAGGTGGTAATTAAATTGCTCTAAGAATTATGATTGTTGAAATTTATCATACCATTTGGAACATCTGCAGCACTGTCCCCAGATGAAGTTGCAAGGACGTGCATAGGGAAATTACTGAGGTGTATATTTTGCTTTATGTCCTACACTCAGCTGCACAGCTTGCATGAAATAATGGCACCGATAAATAACTCCACAACCATTTGTGGCATCCATGCCAAGCTAAGAGCTACCGATGCCATACTTTCAGATTCTGGCTGATGTATGTTGATGTAATGAAGGAGTTAATTTCCTACAGGACAGTCATGCTGAAGATTGCACTCTCTACAGTGGAAAGAACCATGAAAATCAAGAGGATTTGGGTACTGCAGTTCACTAAGATGTCAACCTGTAAGTTACACAGCATCTTCATATTTTCTCTCTTCACGTACAAATGGAGCTCATCAGCTATACACACCATTCTGACACACTCTTAGTAAACCATCACGAATTCCTTTATAGATATCTTTGTAGTATTATGACTTTATCATTGGAGATGTCTGCTTCTTAAAGTTTATGTCTTCAGCTGCACTAGAAACAGGACATCCAGAATTTCGGCTCGGCTTACCAAGCACAATGAAAAGGGATCTGAAATACCTCACAGACAATATAGCATTTACGTACAAGTATTGCAATGACTGACTGATGTGTCTTGAAGGACATGGAGTCTGTGCAACTGAAAGGCAGTCTGGAATCATTGGTAGCACTGTACTTCTTTTATATTCATTGATAGTACACCTAGTGTATATGAGGATCCAGACTTATTCTACAGCTGCATCCGTGCTTTTAGCCCCCAAAAAACTGGAAAAGAAAAAAAAAAAGGGGGGGGGAGAGAAAGATTTCTTTGTTTATAAAACCTGAATTATTAAGCAACAGTAATGGAGACAAACATTTTTCAGTGTCTGGCAGTCTGCAACAGTCTACTAGCTGCAGGGAACTTTTTATTTTATTTATACAGAGTGTTTGCACCTAATTAAATGAAAAAGTAGAAACATGCAGAACTACCTGAAAGTAATTCAGGGAGCTGACAAAAAAATAAAAATAAAAAAGAGGAAAAAGATATATGTCCCACTTTGTGGGTGGTGTGTTGAACACTGGGACCTGTGTGATG